TGTCAATACAAGAGTTGCCTCTGTCAGTCCACTCCCAGGCTGTTCTCCTTGCATGTGAGTTAAGCCCCCCTCAATTGAAGTGCATGTTTCTTTAGTTCTGTTACTCTTAACTGCTTTGTGTTCATGTTGTGTTGGAATCAAGACTTGGTCTCATCTCTGGGCAAGCCCTTAACGAAGAGCTACAGGTCTGTAACTTGGTGTCCTTCAGACTTTGGCTCTAAACAGCGGCTGCAAAGCGTGGAAGTGCAAATAAGCACTAAATGAAGGTAGATGCCTGAAGGTATCAGTGAGTTCCTAACGTGCAGAGTGTGACAACTGAACGTGACTTCTCTTGCAGATTGATAGGCAACAGTTTGAAGAGACTGTCCGGACACTGAACAATCTCTATGCAGAAGCTGAAAAGCTTGGGGGCCAATCCTACCTTGAAGGGTGTCTCGCCTGCCTGACCGCCTACACCATCTTCTTGTGCATGGAAACACACTACGAAAAGGTGTGCTGCTTTCCCTGCCCCGGTAGCAAAGGCAGTGTGAGTGAGTCCCATGGGCTGCAGCCACCCTTGTGTTTTGGTGGGTTTTCTGTTGTGACCTGCAGACAAATTCCCCATGCACTCTGGACCTTGTTGCATAGATACATCAGACTTAGGTTGAGTCATGTAATGATTGCTTGTACATCCGGAATCCTGCAAGTCCTGTCTCAAGCTGTGTGCTAGGTTCCCCTAACGTTGGTATTGCTGGGGCTTGGACTCTGATGCAGGGAAACCCACTGACTTCTGTGCTGCTGTGTTACCAGGTTCTAAAGAAAATTGCCAAGTTCATTCAGGAACAGAATGAGAAGATCTATGCTCCTCAGGGCCTCCTTCTGACAGACCCCATCGAAAGAGGACTAAGAGTTGTATCCTTCTGTGGTGGCTTCCATTGCCTCCTGGTTTGTCCATCTGCGATGTGCTTGATCTCAGTGTGGCACCCTCTGGTCATGCTTATCTGTGGCACAGCAGAATAGGTGTTTAGTTTTGTTCTTCTCCATCGTGTGCTGTTCTCTGGTCAGATTTTGGTACATTAAGATTTGTTGCATCAAGACAATTAAAATGCAGTGTTGGAACCTGTCCTTTGAGGCTGCCTTGAAAACCTTGTATGTATCAATAAACTACCTCTTTCAGTGACCTCTAGAAAGGTGTTTGTCACATTGGGGCAAAACTGGCCAACTTGGTAGGATAGAAACTGTTGATGTGGAAGCAGGAGGTGGCTGTTGTTTCATTTGCAGCCCTGTCCTCAGGTTCTGGTGAAGGTTTTGCTGTGTGTCACCACCATAAGTTGATGGCAGCCTCGCACGTTGTTCTGCTGTGGCTTCTTCCAGCCTTTTCAACGCTGGAACCAGGCTGCAGGCATTTATCTCCTTGTTGTCTCAGCAGTAGTAAAGATCCTCACATGACAAATCCAGGGGTATCGAGACTGGAACAGCTTGAAACACAGCCTTGTCCCTTAGATGCATGCTAAGGGGAATTCTTTGTGGTTGAGTTATTGTGTATTTGTCTAAGCAGCTGATAGCTATCACCTACATGATTTCATTATCCTCAAGATGTTTTCTGCATTGTTCTCTGCATAAACCTGGGGAAAACACAAACAGCAAAACCCTAAAACCATTGAACTTCAGTAAAAGCATTTTCCATTTGGTTAGTGACTTAAGTAGCTGGAGTGTGGAAGTGTTTTGTCTAGTGCATGGCTTTTCCTGACATTAAATAGAAGGTAGCAGGGCTCAAACCCATGCAGCAGCTTGTGTTCTTGCTGTCAGGACACACTGACCTGACCTGGCCTCTGTTGTGTGCTGTTCTGTTTGCTTTGTAGCTCTGGAAATGAGCCTTGAAAGATCAAAGGTTCTAATATCTTATTCCTTCTTTTTGGTTATATTTTCACCGTCTTTTTATAGTATGTTTCCCTAACAGCTTTTCTGTGCAGATTGAAATTACCATTTATGAAGACAGAGGTATGACCAGCGGAAGATAAAACTGTGGAGTCTCAGGTACATGTTAACCTAGTACTAGATCAATCTCAACCCATCTCAACCTGGTTTCTGTGCTCAGAGGGGTAGATTGTGTCATACTGAGGCACCACGGTGTGTCTTGAAAGGCTGTTCACCCAAATCTTGTGTGGACCAGCTTTTCTGAATGAGTGGAAATATCAATCAATACTTGGCATAATGCCACTGAATGTCAATGCAGATCAGACAATACCACATTCATATTTAGGGACATTTGGGTCTTGACTGGATAAGCATGCATAAACCTGACTAGTGCTGTATTATGTCCAGTCATTGTCCTCTGGTGTGTAGATAAAAGGGTCTTTCTTATTGTGATGAAGTCTGTCATAAGGTTCCGAGCAGACTAACTTAAGACAAATCTAGACTTCAAAATAGGTCACTATTTAAATGCTTGTTTTGGATTCCCAAGCAGCTTTTGTACTAACAGCATGAGAAAAATCACTGATGGTGCTAAATCAGCTCAAACCTGAACTGGCTTCCTTGCCTTAGGTACTCTGCAGAGCTTGGGGTGCTTGTCTCAGCCTAGCTTGTTGTCAGTGTGTGCAGAAGAAAAAGATTGCAACTATTTCTGCCTGTTATGCAGAAAGAAGTAAAGGGTTTATTTCCTGTTAGACAAATGGAATCCAGACCCTGCCTTTCCTGCCACTGCTTCCTAAGATAACAAAATCCAGCCACGGAAAGGTTTGTGTAGGGGGTTGTTGGGTTTGTTTAGCAATACTTTCTACTAATGTGAAACTTCTTTTCTAGCAGATAGCTCAACAGTGGAGTTGCTGTATCAAAGTTCCCCTACCTCCTACTTTAGAGCATCATTCCTTTCTTTGCTGCCAGATCCACAGTGCCATCTACTACAAGGACTAACTTCCTCAAACTGCTCCACGTGAGGTGACCCAGCTGGTCAGCATCCATTTTGTGGCCAACTTTTAAGCAATGAGACAATGAGATCACTTTTTAGGTGTGTTTTGGTTTTAAGCGGGGGGGTGTCCCCCAGGAAAAAGCAGAAGTGGTAAAGCTATGTACTCTTCTGAAAGAAATGGGGCACTTTGCCCAGCAGCAGGCTAGTTTTAGTCAACGTATGCGCAGTGCTGTTCCTCCCTAGTTCTTAAACCTTTCTGCCCATCAGAAGCTCTGGAAAGCTGCAAGTTGGAGTTGGGAATTTCCTTCCCTCCAGGTCAGTGTTGGAGTGAGGGGATGCACAGTGCCTCTGCCTGGCGAGAAGGGACTCAAGGCAACAAGTGTTTAACGCTTCCCGTGCTGATTCCCATGGAAAACCCGAAGGCAAAGTGTTCCTTGTTTTCAGTGTTTTGGTTGTCCCTAGGAAGGGGAGGAATAGCTGGACTTGAATACTGGTGGTTTTTTTACTACTGTATCTGTGCTGTTATTGCATCTGTCAGTGCTCGCCAGAAGAGGGGGTCTATTCATTCAGAAGCCAGTAAGTACATTAAAATGGATGCTGAACCAATAAACATAACGACACCTACCCTTCCTCCGATTAATATGTGAAGTGTAAAACTGTTTCTTTCTGGATTTATTATCTATAATTTATAAGGAAAACACTGATTTCACAAACTGTTAGATATCGTGTAAGATGGTTTCTTAATCCTATCTGCTGGCACACTATTGGCAAGTAGAACTGTGCATTAGTATCCCCCCTGCATCGACATTCCTCAGCAATACCTGCCAAAGTAAAGTTCCTACAAACTGAGCTGGCTTAATATCATATCCTTTTCCCTTATCAAAGCAAGGATGTCCAGGGTCTGAACGTCACTGTCCAGCTGTAGAAGGAATCCAAGGAGCTAGGAAAGCAGCATGGGAGCGCTCTGGCTGTTGGTGGCACTGCAGGTGCTAATTCTGGATCTGAAATTCCAGCTTCTTACTCAGCCACTGATTATTTTTTTGTTTCTTTTGATATTTAATATTTTAATTGTATAAAACTTGTTTTTTTTCTAAACTGTAACAGTGTTTGCCTTTCACATCTGTTGCGATATTGGCAGAAGGACTAATGGATTAGTAAATCTTTTCTTAAACCGTGTCTTGTGTCCTATGTGGTCGCACTGCTCCGTGCCAAGAAGTGCTCTTGGGGCCGTTCTCGCTCCCGAGGCAGCAGGATGTCAACGCACAGAGCATGGTTTTGGGATAGATTCTGGAGTTTTGCTCACTTTTGGCACTGTTTTGTTCGCTTTCGGTACCATTTTGCGTTCTTTTGGTACAGTTTTGTTCACTTAACACCGTTTTGTTTGCTTTTGGTACCGTTTTATTTGCTTTTGGTACTGTTTTGTCCACTTTTGATACCATTTGTCCCCTTTTGACACAGTTTTGTTCATTTTTGATAATGTTTTGTTCATTTTTGGTACCATTTTGTTCACTTATGGTACCAAATTTTTCACTTTTGGTACCATTTTGTTAACTTTTGATACAGTTTTGTTCACTTAACACCATTTTGTTCACTTTGGGTACCATTTTATTCACTTTTGACACAGTTCTGTTCGCTTTTGGTACTGTTTTGTTCACTTTTGACAGTGTTTTGACCCCTTTTGACAATTTTGTCCCTTTTTGTTACCATTTTGCTCTGACACCATTCTGTTCACTTTTGGTACTATTTTGTTCACTTTTGATACAGTTTTGTTCACTTAACACCATTTTCTTTGCTTTTGGTGCCCTTTTATTCACTTCTGGTTCTGTTTCGTTCAATTTTGTCACAGCTCTGTTCGCTTTTGGTAGTTTTGTTCGCTTTTGACAACGTTTTGTCTCCTTTTGACAGTTGCGTCCCCTTTTGTTACCATTTTGCTCTCTTCTGACACCGTTCTGGTCCCTTTGGGTACCGTTTCGTTCACTTTTGGCATCGTTTTGTTCGGTTTTTGGTACCGTTCGGGTCACTTTTAACACCGCTTTGTTTGATACGCCCCTCTCGGCGCTGGCAGCCGCCATCTTGTCCCGACGGGGGCGCGCCTGCGCGGGGCGGGGCCGCGCCTGCGCGGAGCGGCCGCATCGAGTGGCGGGAGGCTGCGGGGCCATGGCGGCCGCGGGCGCTGAGGGGCCGGACTCGGACGGCGGCGGCGAGGAGCTGGAGCTCACCCCAGCGCAGCTCATCCGCACCTTGGAGCAGGTCTGTGGGCCGGGCCCTGAGCAGGAGGCTCGGAGCAGTGCGGTTGTGGCATCGCTGGGAGCCGCGGCACGTAGCAGGCCTGTTCCTAGCTTACAGTGTGCCCCCCCCGCTTCCAGGCCTGGCTGAACGAGAAGTTCGCTCCGGAGCTGCTGGAGAGCAAACCGGAGATCATCGAGTGCGTTGTGGAGCAGCTGGACCATATGGTGGGTTCTGTGGGGCTGAGGTGGGGGGACAGGGGGACGCGGTTACTGTGGGGGTCCCTGAGGTGAGGTGCTTTGGGTGCCTGCTCTGGGCTTGTCTTGCAGAGGGGGCTGTGAGGTACAGAGGAGACTGAGGTGCAGAGGGGCCTGTGAGGTACAGAGGAGCAGCTCAGCCTGGTTTTGTGGGCTCTATGCGCAAACCCCATCGTCCTCTCCGGTCCTTCTTTGACATTTCAACCGTTTCATGTCTCTTCTTACAGGAGGCAAACCTGAAACGGGCAAAGGGAGGAGACTTGAAGGTGAGCGTTCATCGGATGGAGATTGAACGGATCCGCTATGTGCTCAGCAGCTACTTGCGGTGTAGGCTGGTGAAGGTAAGGCTGTGCTGCACGGGGTGAGAAAGGGTCACTTCAGGAGTCATTTCTACTGCTTCAACAAGGTGCTCACTCTGTGTCCTCTGAGGATCACACTGTTGATACCTGTTTAACTGGGAAAAGTCTGTTTCAGGCCTGGCTTTTGTCTCAATATCAGATAGAGAAGTTTTTCCCCCATGTCTTGGAGAAGGAGAAGTCTCGAGCCGAAGGGGAGCCTTCCATTCTGTCACCAGAGGAATTTGCTTTTGCTAAAGAGTGAGTAGGTTTTGGATCGATCTGTCTCCCTTTTGTAGGTTATAAACCTCACTGGTGTCATATCCTCAACAGTTCTGGAGCCTGTTTGCAATGAGAATCACAGGTTTTACCAGGAGGTTTCTTATGGACAAAGACAGAGGGAAATAAAGCAACTCTGATAACACTGAGTCAGTGAGCAGGGCAAGCCATGAGGCTTGTCACTGTCCGTGCCTGGGGCCAGGAGATGTCAGTTGCTGGCATTTTGTATCGATGCTCTCCCTGCAGAGTTGTAGCTGATGAAACCAGTGAGTGCTCCAACCGTTTGTTTCAGGTACATGGCAAACACAGAGACCTATCTGAAAAACGTGGGCCTCAGACACATGCCACCCAACCTGCAAAAGGTGGCTCTGCTAAAATCAGGTGAGCACATCCTGACTCAGGGTCATCTCGTGGCAGCAGGGCTGCGGGGGAAGCTCCGAGCTGTGCAGGGGAATGTGAGCCAGTGCTGAGCTTGTCCCTTCAATCCTTTGTCTGCAGTTCCAAAGCCCAACCTGGACTCCTTCGTGTTCCTGCGGGTGCTGGAGCGGCAGGAGAACATCCTAGTCGAGCCGGAGATGGATGAGCAGAGGTAGGAGGGTGCTTCCCCACTGGCTGTGGTGCAGGTTCCAGTGGAAGAGCTATCCTGAGCCCACGCCTGTCTCTGGCAGGGATTACACCATTGACCTGGAGGAGGGCTCCCAGCATCTCATCCGCTACAAGGTCGTTGCCCCACTGGTGGCCTCAGGAGCAGTGCAGCTCATCTGAGGGTAAGTGTGAGGCCAGGATTAGGGTGGGCCGTGGGTCTTCCCATCCACATTCCCTTTGGATGTGGCATGTTGGGGCAGGACAGCAGCAGTGTTGGAAGGGGTACCCTCCACAGCATGCAAATAAAGCAGCAGGACATCTTCCTCTCTGCTGCTGCTGATTGCCCCCACAGCTCATCAATCTCCTGATGGCTTGTGACATGCCTGCGGTACAACCAGGCTCCTGAGCGAGGGCAGCCTGTGTCACAGCACTCCTTCCAAGGAGGCTTTGCCACCATCCCCTTGAGAGTCCCAGGGGAGGGCTGAGTGTTACTGCTGCCTCTCCAGACCCCAGGCTGGTTTGGCAGCAGATGTGGACAGAGTGAATACAGCCTTTGTAAATAGCAGGGTGCTCTCTTTTAAACCCTCAGCTGTATGTTCATCCCTGCTCCAGTTTATCACTGTTCTTTAAGTGAGGCTAGCCAGTGACCGAATAGTGTGGCAACCAGCTGTGTAAATGATGCCTTCCCCCATCTGCTTTGATCTTGTCACAGGGTCTGTGCAACCCTGGCTGTTTTGCAACTGGCTGATTGCTCTGAGGTGAACCAGAGGCAGGGTGGAGGGGGGATTCCTCTGAACCATCCTTGACACATGATGTATTGAGCAAAAAACCACCACATGTAAAGATATTTGCTGGCAGAGCAGATCTTGGTTATTGCAGAAGGAGCAGGAGGGATTGGGAACACGGTAAGGATGGAAACTGCAGCTCAGAGCAAAGGGAACATCATGGGAGAGCCAAGGGTTGGGTGCTTGCACCACTTACCTGCAGTGAGAAGGGAGAGTGAAGAGTTTATCAGCTGGGAGATGCCCATGAGCTTAGGAATTAAGGTTTTTTCCCTTGAAGCATTGTTATGCAGCCAAACAGCATGCCTGTGCTTCCTTGGAAAGGCCCTGCCTTCGGGGAAGGGAGGCTGCATGAGCTCTGTTCTGCCCATGCAATCCCAGTGTGGATACAGTTGTGTCTAATGTGGCCAGAGAGGAGCTTTTCCCTGGCATTTTGACAATAACCAGCCCTTGCCATGGCAGTATCTGATGTTTGCCTCCAGAGCAGGCGTGGGTTTGGAATTGCTGCCTGGCCCTTGTGCTTGTAATGGCATTCCTTGCCCTGGGCCGAGGAGTGAGCACCTCTTGATCACATTGTGAATGATGCAGTCACAATCAAAGCAGCATTTGCAGGTTTGTCACAAACCTCTTCCTAACCAGAGCAGCTGGTTCACGTTTGGGCTGCTTGTGCCAGAGCCACGGGGTCTTTGTATTGCCCATGTAAAGGTTGGTGGTTGCATCTGTGGTCCTACTGCACGTGCAGACTTTGCACAAAGCCAGAGCACAGAGAGCGTTTGGGGGGGATCATGAGGCCCTGATGCTTTTCCAGCCTTTTCCAACCTGCTGCTTTGGGCTGGCTTACTTCTGGGAGGTTGCACCATTATTGTAGCTAATCCTTAGCTCAGGGCTGCCTTGGTCAATGAACTCCAGACAGCGTGGTCTGTGTGATCAGCAGCTGAGGGCTGTGGAAGAGCTCTGAGGAGCTCTGAAGCTTATGATGCCCTCATATTGTTCAGAAAGATACTGGAGGAGGCTGGCAGAGCTTTCCCAGAATGGTCTCTTGCTGCAGCATGAGATTATCAGTCTCTTTTATGTCACCTCCTCTGCTTTGTATGTTATTTGTGCTGCTTCCTATCAGACCAGTGCTCTGTAGTTGAGCATTCAGCTCTCTGTGCAGGGGCACTTGGATCAATAGCACAAACACAAAGCTTCATTTTGAAGCTTGTTTAAGATCGGTGGTGGCCAGTTTCACTAAAACAGCAAGTGTCATCATGGGCTCAGGAGAAAGCAGCTTTCTGCTGTGTGTGATGGAGTGAGGGCTTCCACTACAGCTTCTCATTGCTATTGAAATCTCTTCTGCTCAAACAGTTGTTGGAGCAAGGGGGAAGCAGTTCTTTTGAGCTGGTTACGCAGAGGAAAAGCTCCTCTTGACCTGTTGCATGCCTGTTGTAGTTGGAGGTGAAGCCAGCTCCTCCTTTGAGGCAGTGTCTTCCCTGCATGGTGGCTTGTGAGGAGCAGCCCGATGCTGCTCTGCCAGGCAGGGGGTGACACTCCATCTCGTTCGTGTGTGTGGTTTATAGTGCTCCTAATGAATCCATTTAGGTAAAGAGGATTCTTGTAAGTATAGACATTAAGGGGAGGCTGGGTTTAATCCTGAGGAATCAGTAGGACAGTCCCTGAGGAAGGACTGCAGGTCCTGTGCGTGTCTGCAGCTCTGCAGAGGTGATTGAAGCTCCCAGCCAAAGTCATCACTAATCCCCTGCTGCAGGAGAGCTGTGAGGACAGTGTCTGGTGGCATGGCTGGGGGACTTTCTCCTTGGCCCTATTAAACTTGATTGAATGATAGTCCACACCACTGGTACCTGCCCCTCTGCTGCGTCTCCTGTGGCTACAGCCAGTAGGAGTGGAAAAGGCACTTGTGCCCTTCTAGGAGCTGAATCTCAACTGGATCTGCTGGTTTCCAGGGTGCTGTCAGTACAGCTCCTCCCTGGAGCCCCTTGGCTGGCACATGTTATTGCTGTCACAGCCTGTGCAGGGGTTTGAGGATGGCCATGAGGCTGGAATCAGTCAAGTTCACAGTGAGATTCTCTTGTGGCGTACCCAAGAATGCTGCTGTCTGCTTTTTGTGTCCTTCCATGATGAAAACCGGGACACTTGCGTGGCTGGATGCTACCTTACAGTGCTTCTGTATGTGCTGGGAGAAGTGGAAGTGTCTTTGTCAGCTTGTGCTTTTTAGATGGAGAAGACCCAGCAGTCCATCCACCTTAATCTGTGACTCTGGGAGAGAAAGCGCAGAGTGAAAGCCACTTTTCCAGCTTCCACAGGGCTCAAATACATCCCCTTTTCTCTGCACCCTCAAGGTGGAGGTGGCTTGGGTTTACTGAGTGATTAGCTCTAAAGTAGGTGGATGGGGACAGAGGTCGCCAGGAGGGCACTGCTGGTGAGCTGTGATTTCCCTGAGCCGGATCTGCTCTCCTGAGTGCAGGGGGACAAGGTGGGGTGAGTGCTTCCATTGCAGGGGGGGCTCTTTCCTGGCTGTGAAGACTCCCCCAAGTCACTGCAGTGGAGGAGCTAAGGGGAAGGATGTACTGCTGATTTCCTAGCACCAAGAACCATGTTAGAGCTGGCCCCAGGGGCCTGTAGGGACAGGACAAGGGGAGCAGCTTTAACCTGCTGGAGTGGAGATTGAGATGAGCTCTTAGGTAGAAGTTCTTCCCTTTGAGGGTGCTGAGGCGCTGGCACAGGGTGCCCGGAGAAGCTGTGGCTGCCCCATCCCTGGCAGTGTTCAAGGCCAGGTTGGACACAGGGGCTTGGAGCAAGCTGCTCCAGTGGAAGGAAAGACACTTCCAGCCCTGCAGCCCAGCCAGACCAGTGGGTCTGGCTCCTGCTCACCCACAAAGATCACTGTCCTGCTCCACCCCAGGCCAAAAGTGACACAAGTGCCACATATTCTTCCAGAGGTACGCGCCCCTCTGCTCTCACTGCTCTTTGCCTTGGCCAGGGCAGAGCAAGAGCGTTCTGCCAGCCAAGCACTGTGTTGGAGCTCGCTCCTCCAGCCATCCTGTGAGGGGTGCCTCAGGTCGTGATGGTGATGGGGAGCCACGTGTAAATGCCGAGAAGGAGGTTGTGTCATGAGCTGATGGAAATCTGTGCTGTCAGCAGGAACAATCAGTCCTGCTTAACCTAAATGGCTCTGTAGAGATTAGCTGTGGTGCAGGGCAGGGGTGATCTGATTTAGGTGATAGTCCTTTCTGTCAAGGAGTCACATGTGAGCCGGCCAGTGACCGTGGTTTAGGACAGCGCTGGGAGTGAGGGACACTGCGGTGTCTCCTGCCTGCTCCGCTGCCAGTGGGTTCCTTTGTCAGGGCAGGGATCTGGGGTAAGGCACGACTGAGTCGGACTCGCTTTGGGGCAGGACTGAGCCTGGACTCGGGTACCCAGGGAGCAGCCCTTGCACAGGGATGGGTCTGTAAAACCAGTGCCCTGCAGCTTCCTCAGGGCCCTGCCCCGCACCCGGTCCCGCACTCACCCACCTCCAGGAGCCCGGTGCTGCGCGCTCCCTCCGCGCTGCTCCTCCGAGGCCCGCAGCCGGGGCGTTACCGGTAGGGCCGGGGGGGTCCCGGTGCCCCGTTAACGGCCGCGTCCCCAGGGCTCATCCGCGCGGTGGGCGGGGCCTCCAGGGGGCGGGACCAAGCTCCCATTGGCCGCCAGGGGTGTGCCTCCGGCCGCTGATTGGTCTCTGCGGGCGCGGGGTGTCCTGGCCCGTGGCGCGCCCGGGGCCGCACTGCCTGAGACGAGCGGAGCGGAGCCGGGCGGCGGGAGGCGATGGGCGCGGGGAGCGGGGGTTGTGGGGGCCCCGTCTGACCCCGTCGTCGCCTCCAGGCTCCTGCCCGTTGAGCACCCGCAGCCATGCCGGTGGACCTGGCCGTGCGGCTCTGCCTGGGCCACTCGCCCCCCATCCGTAAGCTGCTGAACTCCTACGAGGAGCTGCGGGGCAGCCGCGGGCGAAAACCCCTCCGGTCCTGCCTCAACCAGAAGCTGAGTGTGGAACCTGCGCCTGAGCAGAGGGAGCACACCAGGAGCAGCAAGGGCCAGAAGAAGAAGAGGGTCGTGTTCGCTGACACAAAGGGGCTCTCGCTGACGGCTGTCCGCTTCTTCTCAAAGATCGAGGAGGACCTGTGTGACCTGCAGCACGCCCTGTCTGACCTCGCCTGCTTCCGACCTTGGCTGCGGGCCTCGCACCCAGAAGTGTGCAGGTACGTGCTGGACTTCCCACAGCCCTCTGCAGACTACCTGGCCTTCCGCAGCCGCCTGCACAGCAACCTTGTCTGCCTGGAGAACTGCCTGATCCAGGACCGTGCCCTGTCCGGGACGGTGAAGGTCAGAAACATTGGGTATGAGAAGAAGGTTATGGTCCGCATCACCTTCGATGGCTGGAAGAGCTTCCGAGACATCTCCTGCCAGTACATACATAGCACGTATGGCTCAGCCGACACAGATACCTTCTCCTTTGAGCTTTTGCTGCCCAAGCCGTCTGTCTCCCGTAGGGCTGCAGAGTTCTGCATCTCCTTCCAGTGTGGACAGAAGATCCACTGGGACAACAACCACGGGAGGAACTACAAGATCTGCCATGTGGGGGTGATGTGCCCGCCTTCCCGTGCTGTCAAGAGTGCGGGCTGGGAGCCCCTCGGTGCCCCTGGGGCAGCTGCCCTCGTCCTGTCCCACCTGCAGAGCTGGCGGCGTGCAGAGACCCAGGCTCCCTACTGGTAGGAGAGCAGAGGGTGCAGGTCTTTTCTGCCTCTGACTGTGACATGGGGGTCTCTGGGGAGGGGGCAGCTGCCCAGGATGCGCTCAGGGTTCTGTCACCTCCGGGTGTCTGCTGATCTCCATGGGAGCTTCTTCCCTGCTGGCTCCTGCTGTGGAGCCTGGAGCTGCTGCTCCCTGTGCCTCCTGCCCGCCGGCTCTCCAGGGCAGGGGAGCGACGAGGAACGGCCATGACCCGAGGCTGGGCCCCCTCTGCCGCCCAAGTGCCTTGTGTGGAGTGGCAGGGGCCAGGACTGTGACAGCGGCGGCAGCGGGACCATTGCCCCGCGGGGCTCCGTGCGGGCAGGCCCCGAGCTGCGGGGAGCGCCTCCGGTCCTTGGTGCTGTACCGGGGGTTAATAAAGTGATGGCACTCGAGAGTCCGCCTCTGCCTGTTCTCTGCCCGTGCCCCCTTTGCCGGTGTCACCGGTACCAGACGCCCCCTGCCGACACGATGGTGCCGACGCACTCCTACGGGCGCGGCCCCGAGGGCGGCGCGCTGACGTCAGCGCACGCACGGCAGGCGGGGAGCGCGCACGGCACAGGGCGGGGGCGGGGCCGGGGCCCGGCGACGGTTGCGGCAGGTGAGTGTTCACCGGCCCGGTTCGGGCCGTCCGGTCGCGGGGCCGCGCTGCCCTTACACCCGCTCCCTGCTCCCCGCGCGGGGCTCGGGCCCCGCTCGCACCGGCGGCGCTGGGGCCCTGGGTAGGGCCGGGCCGGGCCGCGGACCGTTAACCGGCGCCCGCCTCGGGGAGCGCGGCCTGCGCGCCGCTCGGAGCCCTGCGCCCCCCCGCGCCCGGGCCATGAGCCCGGCCCGGCCCCCGGGCGGCTGCGCGCAGCGCTCCGGGTGCCGCCTCTTGGCCCGCGGACGCGGAGCGGGAATCCGGTGGGAGCGTCCCCGCGGAGCCGCCGAGGCCGAAGGTCGCCGGGCCGAGCCCCGGCCCCGCCGTGATTTGCTGTGCCCGGGGGCCGTGTCCCGGTGAATGCCTGGAGCTGCAGCCCGGAGGCGGCCGGTGCCGGGCCGCGGGTCCTGCCCGCTCCGGGGGCTGTGGCAGCGGGCGGGGTTGCACGCGTGGCTCCCCCGGTGACCCTGCCAGGGATGCAGCGGCCGGTCTGACCGGTCTGAGAGCACGAGTCCCGGTGCCGACGGGTGACAGCGCGGTGTAATGGGCAGGACACGGTGACAGCGCGGTGTAATGGGCAGGACACGGTGACAGCGCGGTGTAATGGGCAGTGACACGGTGACAGCGCGGTGTAATGGGCAGGACACGGTGACAGCGCGGTGTAATGGGCAGTGACACGGTGACAGCGCGGTGTAATGGGCAGTGACACACGTGGCTGCGGAGCTGCCTCTCCCCGGACATGGTTCATGCGTGTTCCTCTGAAGCACTTACAGCGTTAGCACTGCTATAGAGCAGCACTGAGCCGGCACCTGGAACACACGGGAGAGCAGGAGGCTGTTCCCAGGCTTTCCTCCTGTGTGCTTGTCGGGTCCCTGTTAAATCCCATCCTTAGCGTGATGCTCGGTGGCCTCATCCACCCCGTGCTGCAGGGCGCATCCTCCCCTGGAGGGCTGCAGTGCCGGGTGCCAGAGCATTGACTGGTCCCTGTGCCCTGGCAAGTTCCCCTTTGGTTCATCATCAGCAGTAATCCTCCCCTTGGGCTAACTTCCTGTTAGTGACTGCGGTGTACAGGAGCAGAGGAAGTGATGCCTTCCCAGGAATCTAGGTACCTGGTTCCTCAGTGCCTTTGGATGCCTCTGCAATGAGAGGGGTGATAAGATTCTTGTCATGAGGACGGGTTTTCTGGCTCTCCATTGGCTGCTTTCCTGTCCCGGGACCTGACTGCAACACCCCGTGCTCTAGGTGTGGTTCTGCCCCCCTGAGCTGATGGTATGAAAACACAGCACGAGTGGCACGGGGGGGGTATTCCCAAGGCAGTGCCAGTGCCAGGCAGTCTCTGGAGTGCCCAGCCTGAGTCTGCTGTCGTGAGAGCCACGCTGGGTGATGTGAGCAGCTCTGAGAGCCCACTGTCCCTGGCCTGCTGCTGTCCCTCTGAGCTGCGTGACCTGCCTGATTTGGGTTTCTCTTTCCTCCATAGTGCTGCTGGCATGTGAGCGCCTCGTCTGCCAAGAAGCCAACCCGCTGTTGGAAGAGCTTTCCAGGGGCACGGGTGCCAGTCCTGTCTCTGATGACCCCTCGGTGTGAGTGGGTGCCTCTGGAATTGAACTGGTTCCAGGCGTCCTGCAGGGACCTGCCGTAGTGCCTGCGTCCTCACGGAAAGAACAAGAATAGCTCCAGATACTGCCCTGCAAGTGCCAACTCCCTCCATCTCCTCCAATGCCGGCTCAGGGATGGACTCCACCTTGTCCCCGTGAAGAGGCTCTGCATGCCCTCAGCAGCC